TTCCATCTTTCAAACTGGCAAGCACAGAGACTGGGCTGGAGTCTGGAGTGGACACTTGAACTAGGAGGAAATTATCTTCCCCGTAAGCATGAAATGGAGCTTTTAACAGGCACATGAATTTAGTGAAATACATCAAACCATAAAGCAACATCCTTCAAGTTGTATAAGTATTGAAATAGTTTATTTTTTCTTTCTTCTTTTACATAAAACAAAGAATATCAGTAATATACAATTCTCAACTCGTACTGCTAAGGTGACAGTCACACAAGAACATCACTGTTATTATTGGGTTCTGAAAAAAAAAAACATTTAGAGGGAGAATTACTGTAATAGTTGAGTAACAATATGTGCAATAAATGGTAAATTACACTCATCAGTGCTGAGTACAAATACAGGGCATTAGAGTAAATGTTAGAAAAATACAATACTCTTGTGAGAGTGAGGCTCTTCATTATGCGAGCCATTTTAAAAACACAGACGCCATGCTCCATCTACCCGTATCAGTACAGCCAATCTGTTCCCTGATCCATTAACGCCTCTTCTCACTGTATACGCTACATATTTCATTTATTATACCTGCTTGTTGCTATTAGCATGAACTGCACTTTACAAATATTACCTTCAACATATACATGTAGCAAGTGAGTAAAGATTTAAAGAGGAGGTAAATACAGTAAGAAGACAGGACTAATGATATTGTGCAACGTTACAGTGCTCCACAGTTCTACATCACATGAAAGTGTCAACTGTCTCTAATGTTTCAAAAAGAATATGGCTATAGTCACCATGACAAGTCTGATATGTAGTTTTAGTTGCATTCATTTTCTGTATATGTGATTAGCTCAGTGCTTGGCAATACACATTTTGGCAAGTATCTACACATAAAAGGCAGGGAGCTGACAAAGGTGTGAGGGGTAAACATCGCAAAGCGTAATTGTCGGGATGCATTCAAAACACCAAAAACATTACTATAAAGGACACAGTATACGTAATAGAGAGAGAAACTGGTGAGATATTTTACAGTTAAATGTACGGACAGAAACTGACAAGAGGAAAATATTGAGTTCAGGTAATAACCTTAAACCATTACAGTGACATCTGGTGTGTTCACTGGTTGCAATGAAATGGTTTCACATTTTAAAGTTGAGGTTTACCTATTAAATCCACAGCATCTATCAAAGACAATAAATGGTATTTTCCCTGAGCTAGCACAACAATGTCCACAACGCGCCTACTAGGTGCTTTATAACTAGGGTTACATGCAAAACTCACTGCTTTGTCTTGATGTCATAACTGTGGAAATATGTAAAAAGAAAATAATAATACAGAATGCACGTCACATGTAAAGAGTTTCATACCAAGACAAGATGTGCACCATTTTCAAAACATGACACCTATCGACAATACAACACACAATTTCAGATGTCCAAGTGACACTCTGCATGATATTTTAAAAGTGATGCCAGTTTAATGTCATAAATACTGAGCAGTGCATATAATGTTTCACATATTATACGTACGTATAAGTATTTTTCCCATCTTGTGATGAAACTCTTCATATGATGGCTATTGGAATTATATGATGCATCTCTGTGGTTAGAATAAGCCAGAGGGTGGTTGCATGCAAGTTGATATTAACATTGTGACAATAAAAAAAAGTTTACAAGATAGTGCACACTTTAAAGAATCACATTACTCAGCTCATGAATGGCAATCAGTAGTTAGTGCTGTACATAAAATGTTTTCAGGATAGAAGTCTGAAGTAGTTTGTGATCTTGAGTTCAGTAGGTTCCATCTGAAAAATAAATGACTGGGATACATATTGCAGCTGAGATATTTATTAAATCTAAAGCAGGATTAGATCTTCAATTAAACAAATGACCACAGCTGGTGTCATTATGGAGGCCAGGTGGTGAATTCATGCTTGTGCAAAGGTATTTCAATGTTTAAACCTGCACTGATTTTTTTGAAAATGGAAGAAATTACAGTTTCTTCTGGCTCATTGTTTTGATTACACAGGTTGTACAGTCAGATAAAACCACTGTATGCTAACTGATGCTTACCAGATGAAAACATTTAGTGAGTAGTTGGTTGTGTTGGCAAAAAACTAGCAAGCTAAAGACCCACAACTCTTAAGAGTTGGTGAAGACCAAAAGGGAGATTAAAAGAGTATCTTGCATTTTGAATAATAAAGTGGTCAGAAACAGTCAAATAGGATGTTGTTTTATTCTGCTGGATATGAAAGTATGTACGGTAAATGTTTGCTAACATGTTAGCTATAACAGTTTTCTAAAGGTGATAGTATGTTGAGGCTGTGGCTGTGTTCAAAAATACATATCAACATACTGCTTATTACATAGTCTACTCAATCAGTGTGTACTGAATACTGCCTACTTAATTATAATCACATATGCCATTACCGGGCGGCACGGTGGTGTGGTGGTTAGCACTGTCGCCTCACAACAAGAGGGTTCCCGGTTCGATCCCAGGTGTGGGAGCCCTTATGTGCGGAGTTCGCATGTTCTCCCCGTGTCTGCATGGGTTCTCTCTGGGCACTCCGGCTTCCTCCCACAGTCCAAAGACATGCAGATTGGGGACTAGGTTAATTGATAACTCTAAATTGTCCGTAGGTGTGAATGTGAGTGCGAATGGTTGTTTGTCTCTATGTGTCAGCCCTGCGATAGACAGGCGACCTGTCCAGGATGTACCCCGCCTCTCGCCCTGCTGCCATTACCAGCAGACTGTTGACACTGAAGCAATATATCATCTCTTCATCACAACTGTATTAATCACAACATTATCGACTAACATTTGAATGAAAATAGTTTATTACAAATATAAAACAACAGTACCTCTTCCACTAAATTTAATTCTCTCCAGTGTTATTTTAAGGCAAATTAAAATTATTAAATGTTTTAGTGTTGTTTTCTACACTACATTATGTGTGTCCCCGCACTTTTCCTCTTAACTGTACTTCAACATTACTCCATATCTGTGCCTGCTTATCCTGTTAGGGGTCGCAGGGGGGCTGGAGTCTATCCCAGCTGACATTGGACAAGAGACGGGGTACACCCTGGACAGGTCGCCAGACTATCACAGGGCTAACACACAGAGACTCACATTCCCACCTATGGGCAATTTAGAGTCACCAATTAACATAACCTGCATGTCTTTGGATTGTGGGAGAAGCCCCCCAGCCTAGGTTTGAATTGGGAATCCTCTTGCTGTGAGGTGACAATACTAACCACTGTGCCGCCTTGTACTTTAACATCATTAAATTTTGGCCAGTGGTTAATGCTTTAAACAGTTTGCCTCACAGTCCATCATTGGACAGTGTGAAGAGCCATATTGAGTTTCGGGGCAGTTGAGTATGTTGAGTAAAGTCATGTCTCATACTCAGAAATTCTTGCTAATCTAGTATACATCCATCCATTTCTTGCATTCACAAAATCCCATACTATGCAGTTGGAACCAGGCCCCCAAACAGAATTGAAACTCCAGAACCCATCACATGATGCCATTGGGCCCCCCAAAAAAATGTTTTCCCATAGACTTACATTGGGAAAGAGGTGTCTGTAAATGTCTGTAAATGACACACCAGCCAAAAAGATTCGTTTCACAACCAGGATTTGATCCATTCAGTCCGGTACCATTTTTAAAGTCTAGAACTGCTAGATTATTATTATTATTATTATTTTTTTTAACCGTTCAAATTAGCGAAGCACTAAAATTAAGTAGCCAGCTCGGCCGGTAGCATGAGTGGCAGTTGAATGTTTTTGGCCTCATGCACCACTGGGCAACTTCCATAGGAATGAATGGGGCCCCACCTCTAATGCTGTATCCAGTTCTCTTAACACATCCATGGTTAGAATGCATTATATACTCATTTTACATCATACTTAGTATGAATAGTATGTTAGTATGCAATGTCAAACACAGCCTCTGTCTGTCATTGTGTTTTGTTTTGTCCCCTAGTGGCCAAATTTAATCGATGTAATTTTAACCACCAGGTTACAAAAGTTGATAAAATAGTTTACTGTTATGTATTTCCATGTGTAGATTATAGATGAGTAGACAAATCCTTGTTGGAGTCCACATAGTATTGACAGTCCTTTCTGTACTGTGGCAAATATTTTGGCTGTAAAAATGAAAAGATTATTCATTTGATTATACTCATCCATTTCTGCGGTATAGCGGCACTCAGTTAGTTGTATGTGAACATAATTTGTTGGTGACAGGGTTGCAATAACATTGCTGTACCCATTACATGGTGTTGGAGTTGCAATGTGAGAAGTATCTTTTTAAAGATGATAGCTGTGTGCTGCAGTGGAAGATCAATTAAGTCAGTTACAGTTATGTAGAGCTAATTCTCTGATTAGTTGTGGGGTTTTTTAGCATTCAGGTTACTGCAACACTGGAAACTGTCTTCCTATTTTTAGTTGTTCTTTTTCTATGCAGTTAGCTTAACTAGCTAACAAGTATGGTTATTACATAGCAGTATAAAAATGCAGCTGTTTAACTAAGAAAATGATGATAACAGGTAGCCATGAAAGTGCTACAGTAGCTAACCTGATACCAAAAAAAAAAAAAAAAAAAAAATCAGTCACGTTTTAGTATGATTACTTCTATTACAGATTCTTACTCTCAAGTTCTCAAATACAGATGTTTGGTCAGTGATCCTGTGCATCAAAATGATGCTCTGGGTGTGGGTATGTCACATGATAAATGTCACGTAGTTAAAATAAGTCAGTGGTGACCTTTGGTTTCACATGGAAGACAAACAGCAGTCTCCTGGGTGAAAGTCCCCTTGCTCTTTATACTGCGTCAGTTTCTCAGAGTGTCTAATAGTGATGCATCACAGTGCAATCTCATATAGATGCTTAAGAGTGCCTTGGTGTGTCAACATCAGACGCCGAGGGCCACTGACCAAGCGTCAGTATTTGATGAGTTTGGAGTAAGAACAAGTTGAAAAAAAAACAAAAAAAAAAAAAACAGGAAAATGTAAATGTCTGTTTACCTCCAGTCCTGTGAGACAGCAGAGAAGTACATTTAGAAATTCAATCAGCTGCACACAGCTGATGCCAATGAGCTGCAGACCACCAACATGGCTGCCAGAAGGTTCATTACTACACCTCAAAGGCTACTCAGTATCTCAACACTACACTGAGCACAGGTGGAAGCCCACAATGCCAAGCTCACTTGTTGTCCAGCTCTGAGCGTTTCATCCTGATACAGAGATGCAGTGTCCAAACTGTGGGATTTCGGTATCCTCCATGTGTGTTAGAGTGATAAATTCAACTGATTGCTTGATTCTTTGCTTCAGGTTGACTCAGTCAGCTTCATAAACTCTGAAATGAGAGACATAGAGTAGAGTGAGATTCTGCAGCACAGTGCCATGCAAACATCCAAAATAAAACCTCTGCCATTTCAAGAAATTTAACACGTACTGTTATAAGTTGGTTCTTATGATACAGTATTTATTTATTTCCCCAGAAATGGTTGAATCACTTATTACAATACAATTCCTCTATATATGTTCCAATAACCTGCACATACACAACCAAGTTTATTCAAAGGGAAGTCAGCAACTCTTTCTACTGACTGCAGAACACCTTAAATTACAGTTTATGGTGATTTCAATTGTTCAACTGTTGTTGGAAGTAAATTTAACATGTATCATTTTCAGTTATACTGCATGAGCAACTACAGTTTAAATGCAAATAGAAACAGTCAACTTGTGATTTGATTGTGTTGGGCAGAGATGATATTTAAAGAAACCTGCTGCCCTGCATGTTGATGTAACGTTGCATCACTCTCCCACATAAGTCAGCTGTCTGAAGCCCCTTTACCACTGAACAAAAAACCCCACTAACACCCGCTAAAATCTGGCTTTTGTATTTAATGGGAAAGGACACAATCAGCATTCACATCCAGGACAATTGACTCTGCAGTAGTCGAAGGTATTTACTGGCTCCAGCTTGGATCGGCTTCGATTGGCAATGATGGAAATACAACTGGATGTGCTACTTTCAGACCCTTTGCCAGCGATATGTAATGACAGAAAATACCGTCCATCTCCATCTAAGCAGCTCGTGACCATCGTTCGAAATATAGTCTGCACAGAGTTTGAAACAGAGACTGAATAAGAAAATAAAAAAGTAAAAAGAAGTAACCGCCGGAACATTTTCACTGGCCTTCATGCTGCTGTCTACTGTTTACTAACCTGTTTTCCCTCCCATCCCTGATATTAAATGCAAAAAAAAAGGTAGAAAAAACAGAAAGGCACACTTGTGTGCAGAGCTGTGTGCAAGGCTCTAGTATACTGACAGTGGGAAAAGAGTCTATCCCCTATTTTTGTGGGTGTTCTGGTGTTTAAAAAACCTGCATACACATGCTAATTTGGGTGAGAAAGGGGTGTAAGTTAAACTGACACAAGGTCTGACTCAGCATACGTAGACCATAACTGTGGGAATTTGTGAATGGCATACGCTTGTACAGAATATTACAGTTGTATGAGTACATTTCTGTGAGTGAAATTGCTTTCATAAAATCATCTGACTCGAAGGAACACAGAATCTTTATGTGCATTTTGTGTATGCATGTGTGTGTGTGTGTGTGTGTGCAACAAACTTTACTTCTTCAGAGGCCTGTTTGATGGGTAGGACTTGGTTTCAAAATTTAGGTTAGAATAAAGTTTAGATTAGGTTAACAGTTGTGGTGAGGCATTTCCCTGTAATGGTTAAAGGACACATATTGTGAAAAGTCAGTTTTCCATGCCTTAAAAGTAAAAGTAAAAGTATTAGAATACTCAAACCACAGAGAAATGTACACAGTTCGTATTCAGAAACTGTGCCTATAAACAAGCTGTTAGGATTTCTATGACTTTGTGATATCATAACTATACTATATAGACCGTTTGAAATATAAACAGTCTAATGGGTCCTTTTGTATCTCTTGTTGGAATGTTTTGCCCTGTATGTGAATGACAACAGCTGACAGAAAGTAAACATGGACCCAAACTGTTGCCGAGCAGTGTAATTCCACTGAAATGGAAACCCAACACACACGGTATGAACCTGAATATGGGCATAATATGGGACCTTTAAGGTTAGGGTCAGGGGATGGGGGTACATTTTGTCAATTAGGGTCCTCACAAAGATAGAGGTACAGGGATGTGTGTGTGTTTATGTGTGTGAGATGGGATGGTGCCTCATGTGCAGTCTAAATCCTGTGGCTGGTTTTTAACACACAGGCATGTCTTGCAATCTACGACACACACACACACACACACACACACGTTGTAAATGCCAACGTTAATGTACTGTAGTAAGATGCAAATGATGTTTGTGTTAGTCATGTGTTTAGTTGCTACCATTAAGCTTGCTTTCTGTTCAATGAGGGTAGAAATGAGTTTTACAGGAAAGTGTAGCATTTAAAGTGTCTTTTCTAGGCAAATACACTGTTTTTACAATGTGAAGAAGTGATTGTTGCACATTTTTCATCTTTACAGCTACCACTTACAGTGTCAGTTTGGGGAGGCAAAATTTGAATATGTCTGACAAGGCTTCAGCAGGCAGATTCTAGATTTATCTTTTCAACTTTCATCACACTTGCCAATATAACCCTTCAGGGTGCAAAAATAATAATACTTATCTTGAGTATCAAACTCTTGAAACAAACTGTGACCCTGTTTGTAGTTCTCAGCAGTCTTTTGAACTCAACAGCTTTCAGTTTCTCATGCGATTTTATATTTTCCAAGGCTGGAGGTCCAAGTTAATCATACTGAAACATGTTTATGTTAATTGTACAGGTCACTTTGACGTTCAGAGGTGATATCGTAAAAGATATTTCTGGAGTTTTTTTATTATCCTAGCAAGAAGGGGCTTCTGTTGCTGGATGATAAAGTTGGAGAATGAAAATGTGTACAACTATAAATACATAAAGATAAGTGGACACAGAATATAACATGGTTTTTGGACAGAAGTGTCTTAAATAAAGCTGTTCACGTGTCTTACAGTTGGCAAGCTGGAGTCTTGTCTGCTCTTTCTGTTGGCTCGGAGTGGCTCTTGTTTTTGATTTGATGTAGGTCAACTTTTTTGGTTCCATTGCACCTGAAAAAAATACAGAATGAAACACATTTCAGAGGTTTTCTCAGCAGTCAGATTTAATTCTCCTTCCAGTCAAGAAGAAGAGTCAAATGTGGAGTTGGGAGAAGAGAGTGACACTGGCAGGCTGACATCTTCAAAGAGAGCAAGATTATCATTCTGAATTCAAAGTGCCAGGAGATCTGAGTGACACTAAAGGAGCAGCAGCTGACATCTTGGATGATGACAAATCTGTAATTCTGACCTTAAAGTGACAACCACCTCACCAAACTAAAACACTGTGCAAATGAAGCAAGAGTTTATTTCGCCAGATATGGAGTGACAGTTTAAGTTGCTTAAATCAAACAGCCAAAAGTATTCACTGGGTGTCAGAAGAAATGTCCCTCGGGAGATAAACATTTAAAGATGCATTTCACACAACAAAAAAAATCAGTCTGATGCAATTTTAGCAATCTGCACTGTCTGTGGGTCCAGAAGGGCTTCAGTGTCAGATCCTATTTTCTCCAAACTAGCCCGACAACTTAGCAAAACATGTAGAATTGATCGTTTGCTAACCATAGCTAGGCACAGCAGGCCTGTCAAGCTTGGGTTTCTCCTCATATTGAAGTGGTGTGCATGTGGCTATAGCATAGACTGTACATAAAGATGGCTAACATGACAGCTCCCCAGAAGTGAAGCCAAATTATCTTGTTTGCTCACTGGTGGCTGGCTGCAGTACAGCTTCCTCAGGCCCTCAGGAAGTGTGCCAAGCTATGAAGCCAATTTTCATGGTGGCCTAACATTTATACTGCAATTTTCAGGGTCAGTCATGTGATACCACTGGGCCCATAGACGCACATTGGCAAAGAAACGTCTATAAATCAGTGGATAATTGTTTTGAGTGCCACAATACCCGCAAAGTGATTCATTCCACTTTCAAGGTACATAATACTTTTTTTTTCTAAAGATGTTTTCTAATACTTAAGTTCTCAGCTCGTTGCTGTATGTTTAAATTGGTTTTAGTGAGTTATTTGTTGCTATAAAAATGAGGTTTGACATCATAACTGACAGCTACAGTATATGAGCCTGTAGCACTAACAAGAGTGATATACATCTTAAGAATTTGTAAGGTTGTGTCTTTGTATTCAGTCATTCCTAAACCAAAAAAAGAGAGGAAAAAGTATAAGGAATTAGGAGTTTTTATCTGCTCTATGTAATATGCAGACGTTTGCATGTCTGACAAACTAGCTTAGTATATAAAGTAGGTGCCATGCATTACTTACAAGGCAAGGAATCACATGGCAGTTTAGGCTAACACTAACAGCTCTTTCTTAGATTTGGTTTAAGTCATACTTAAGCAACCCCAACCAGACAAGATATTAATTGGTTAGTCCTCACCCTACAAGCTTTTTCTCTAGCATTGTTAAAAGTGAGACATACTGTAGTTACTATTTGAAAATATGAAAAATAAATTATTTATATCTTAAGTAACTTTGACAGCCTTCTTTATTGTTCTATTCTTTATGTTATTTATAATCAGCTGGTGATAGTGCTGATTTTTGTTTCTGGGGCATGTAGCTTCAGCCTATAAGTATATTAGTAAGATATCACATGTGTAGCCATTAAGTGCATATTTAAGACAGTCAACAGGAGACAGTGTTTAGAAAATACTTTTGGAGCTAATGTCACTTTAATCAGCTAGCTAGAACTCAAAAAACCTGCCAGTGTCACCTTTGGCCGCTAATAATTGTGAAGCTCCGATAGTCTTAAAAAAAAATGTCCAATTGAAATGAAAGGCCATTTGTATAACAGCACAATATCCTGAAAACAATTGTGCACATGGCAAATTATTATGCAGGATGCTGTCATTGTGAGGCAAATTGTGATTTGTGATATTGGGCTTTATAAATAAAATTGATTGACTGATTGATTGATTGACTGATTGATTGATTGATTGATTGATTGATTGATTGATTGATTGATTGATTGATTGATTGATTGATGAAATGAACCAAAGTACGGACAGGAGGCGCCAGCCAGCTTCATCTTCATGTCTAACGTTGAGCATGATGAGCCATGACCCTAACCAGTCACACTCCTCATGTTTATATTTGGGATAACTGATTCTAGGACAAATGGGCTTTTGGTCCAGTGGTACATACTGTATTTCGAACCACTGGAGCTTTGGAATTATGAGCTGTTGGAAGTACCATTATTTTTGATCCTGCAAAATTGATCATTGACAGGGTAGAGAAGCAGCGGTTTCCATTCTCAAGCTTTTGCAGGCTGTAAAGTTGTTTTTTTTTAGTTTGTTTGTTTTATTGCAGCCACAACATGGCTCATGATGAATTGTGCTGTATATATGCACTTACGCATATATATACACTTCTAAGTAAGATCTGAATGGGAACAGATTGCAAATCAATTTCAAATCATAAAGTCAATGAAGCGAGACACAGCTACTTTAACTGAGCACCAACTTATTTAGTGTACGCATGTTCATCCCACTATCATAGTCCTTCTGAAACTGTGCAAATGAAAATACATATTATGTGTGTGGTGGAGAACCCTTGGGGCTTCAATCTGAAAACATGACTCATTAAGAACCACCCATATGCAAAATACATCTTTCCTCTTGACAGTGAAAATGAGTGTTTCTTTGGCAAATGCTGTGTGATTAGCATACTGAGCAGGCCATGTCTATACTGCGTCCTCCTGCATGAAAGCTATCAGCGTAGTCATGAAGGCGCTGGCTATTGTAATGACACACCAAGATCACTGCTGCTTTCAGTAGTCTATTTTGTGTAGATATATATAGAAATGTGCTCCTTCAATTTCACTAACACACTTTAAACTGAAGCAGAGAACATGGCAGGAGAGGATCTTGCATTTCTTCATGTAAGAATGTAGCTTTAGTATCTTTTTGATGTACTTCTTACTGTGGATAAATAGTAAAATACCCAAATACAACTTTTATTTTATATGTCTTTTTTTTAAAAGGAGAGTGACAGATGGCTGACAGATTTCCCACGTGTTCTATAGCTTATACAGTGCAATTTGTTATATGAAAAAATGTCTATAAAAATTACTTTTTTATCCTAATTTTTAATTTTGATTGACGAGCTGAGTTTTGAGTTTAATGGAAAAGCTTTACATTCACAGAGTTAGTAAACTCCACCTCCAGAGTTGTTTAGAAGCAGCACAGAGGCACCTACAGTAGTAAAGCATTAAAGGGTGAATCAATTTTATGATGTCATATTGATTTCAGCTCATTGTCAAATATCAATCCTTGTCTAGTAACTTCTGTCCTCATCCAACATGATGCAGGTCCTTATCAACCAACAGCCACACAACAATATTGTAAAATGTTACAATATCGTTGGAACCATGTAAATTGGAAACATTTTCTTTAAAAACTATCTAACATGGTGACAAATGTATCTTGTGTAGCCTATACTATGTATCTGGATCAGACTACAAAACTGCCATTTTGACCCTACAACCTAAAATAACATTTATCAGTGCCTACACAGAGAGGAACAGGCAGCCTTACAAGGAGGAAGATAGGATAGGATACTGATATTATGGTAAATTTAATTAATCACATTTATAGTAAATATAATAGTGGCTCTTATGTGAGCTCAAAAACCAAGCTTTCCCATTATTCATAGGCTGAGGGAAAGGACTGTTTTCCCCATCGCCAACTCTGCCCTCGCCACGCCCCCTAACAATGACTAGTAACAGACCATATCTATGTTACAGTAGGGGTGCTAATTACACAAACTCATAAAGAGGTGGTATTATTCACACTGAAACAAGCAATTTACAACACGTTTGTGCAGTTAAGAGTTTGTTGAATCTAACTTGGAATACTACAAGCAAACCTCAGAAAAATAAGAAAGTCCTGTTCTTCAGAACTGGCTAGACTAATTCAACAATTTAGAATCAATAATAATAATAGGCCCACAGCACTTAATGGAGAAAACACGTTGAGCATCGTCTTTACTTCAGTCCACACATCATGATTCTTGCTGGAAAAATCTTTGGCTTTACCATACCTGGTGGTGGTCTGGGTAGCCTGCTCTGGGTATCACACAAACTGGCAGAGGTCACAATGGGTTCAGACTGGGGTTGGATGGGCTGGAGGAAGGCCACAGTGGGGAAAGGCACTGACTGGATATGGGTCATGGAGGAGTCGGAGAGGGAGTTTGGCACCCCTGAATGGCTGCTGTCCTTAAAGCTGGAGGGTATCCTCCACCGGGGTAATGGGGAAGGAGACACATCCTCACTGGAGGAACCAGGGACACTGGGAGGACTGAGGGACTGTTCTGGGGTTGATGAGGATTTGGGGAGAAGGTGCAGGATAGAGGAGAAGAAGGAACAGGATTCAGGAAGGGGGATGGTCCCAATTCCACTGTCCAACGTTCGCATCTTGCAGCCGGAGCCTGCGGCACAAGGAGAACAGTTGAAGTGGCTCAGAGTCCCGGGAAAGAGAGGGAGAACAACAGGAATGAAACAACAGGGTAACCATGGTTGAAGTGGCACTGAAGAAACCTTTAAAATATATGTGCACTAACATAATAATTGACTGTTGTTCATCATATTATCTGGGCTGTAATTCTGCACCAGTATTTGAAGGAAAGTCTGTGTAAAGCTGTTCCACATGGAAAATAAACTGTTCTTTATTCTGAAGTGCTTGAAATGATAACTGAAGATTTGAATCAGTGAAAGAGCTATCAGTATTGAATGAGGGCAGCTTTATCAATCAATAATAATGGATTGCCTCTGCAGTGTCATATGATTGTTTCCCTTATGCCTCCTTGTTATTCCTGCCACATCATTCTGACTGTTTGAGCACTAAGCAGCTGATTCTAGTGTCGTGTTTTGGTCATTTCAAAGCAGACATGCAACAGATGGTTAGTCTGTTTTTTTTTTCACTCACACTTGGCTCCATGGTTTCCTCTTTAAAGCCAAGTTGAAAAATGGTGGTTCAGTACAATCTAATTACACATAAGTGTGAGACTGGGTAATGACTTTGCTAATTACACCATATGTAGCCCTGCCACAGAGAATGACTCAGCCAATGCAAATCAAGCTCACTTGAACCACTGCTTTTTAATGGGTGCGACTACTGGCATGCATTGATCACACTGTGAATATGAAATGCACAGAATGGGACATGAAATGAAACTTCAATACACTTCAAATATGTGTATTTTATGTGGAACATATCAAGCACAACTGACAAACACACATGTTGTATGTGATGTTTTCATCTTTGAGATGAAAGATGCAGAATTTGCATTGTTTAATCAAAAGTCTGACATTGCCCCTCCAGAATTACACATTATTGTGAGAGGAATAAACCTATGTTGCAGCTTACATTTCGAATATGTGGCGTTTGTATCATTTGCATTGCTGTTCAGCTCTCAGAGTCTTTTAGACTTCAAAACAAAAAGTAGAAATCTAAAACAAAACAAGATGTGTCACAGTAGTCATCCGTCCAGTGTGCACAAAATCCAAATAAGAAAAGATATCCTCTAGCTGTTGTCATGCAGGCTCATGTTTTAATATGTACCCCGTGGCAGGAACCTGCAGGCAATCTCACGCTGGAGCAAAGGCAACAGCTGCTCCCCCTTTATTAATTAAGGCGCACACACATGAGACTTTACACCCCTCTTCTGGGTTTCTACAAGCTCATTTTTCTTCACTTTTTTCTTGTTTCATTTTTAAGCTAGAGTGCTCAAATTAATTTAGTTTTTTTCAGAGTTGTCACATTACAGGAAAATGTGACAAGCATGTGGCGATGCAGCCTTATTAGGCTATGAAAACACAGACACATACAGTACAGGACCATAGGACCAGTTTTATGTGTAATGTTTTTCAGTTGTATAATCAACTAACATCATGTAACAAATGTGTTACAAATGTCAGCATATGAAGCTTTGAGAAAATCTCACTAGCTCAGAAAAGCTGCATTTAGAGCTTGAGTTGGGGACACATCCTAGCAAACACCCTTTATAGTTAAATGATGACTGCAGGTTCCATGTATTAAAAATTTAAGCACCGCTTGAGATGAAAATGGTTATTTTGACCCAGCTGAAAACAAGAAGAAAAAAAAAGAATTGAGAAGACATAGAACAGAGACTTTATTGATTAGTTTGGTCTTTAGTTGGAAGTTAACAAGAACCGGTGTGACACAGTCTTTCCTGGGAAGGCAGACTCACAGATGCTCAGAATTGATTAGCTTCAAAAAGCCTTTAACACAGGCGGTGAGGTTGTTGTCCTCCTCACATCCCCTCTCTGTTGTACCAAGTTTAATAAATAACTGCTCCATGTCACAAGACAACACTGCAGTAATAATCTTCTGATTTCATTTAAAAAACACATACTATGTGTAAAATGTAATGATGCTAATAATAATAAAATAAGACAAATAAAAATAATAACTAGAAAAGCACTCAGAGAGTGCAGACCTCCACCAAGTAGGTGATATTCCCTCCTCCTCTGCATCAGATTTTGCAGCCTGCATCACAATTAGTTTATTTGCATCACTATCATTATTAGGTTATACATGCCTTCACCGTGGAGACACTGTGGTGTATTTATTTCATTTTTATTTTGTACCAACACAGAATATAAAATGTTTTTTGTATTTTTCACTTTCTTTTTTTCCAACACAGAACATTAATTTCAACTTTAGAATTACAACAATATTTAGCAAGTAGAACAAGACGTGCTTTCCGGCCACCAGATGGCGCTATTTTCACCGTCTTTTTAGAAATTGGAATTGCTGCTGAGGCTGTCAGACGATATACTTTATTTATTATTTTATCCACTCATCAAAATCCATTCATAACTTTTTGAGTTATTTTGCAGACAAACAAACAGATAAACAAACAGACAAACAGACCAACGCCGGCGAAAACATAACCTCCTTGGTGGAGGTAATAATATGTTGTACTTGTAGGATTATGTTGTTTATTAAATAGACTAAGGGTAGTTAAGCGAAGTCGTGTGTGCATAAATTTAAGGAATCCATGTTCTCATCTTCACTTAAAGGGCATCTTGTTAGTAGGGGTGTAACGATCCATCAATCTGGATCGATATATTGATTTAATGATCAACGATCCAATCACATCGATGCAAAGTGAAAACACTGATCCATATCGTCATCTTTAGCATAGGCTTTTATTTTGAAAGTCTGTGTCACTATCAAACAGCAGCAGGCAGATGGCAAGCAGCAAAGAGAAAGACGATGAGCATAAAGTTATTTACTCGGGAATAAATCAGCAAAGCAAAATATTTTGGATTTTGGAGAAAATACAGGATAAGAGACAAAGCACATGGCCTATCTAAACAATGACATTACGAGATAACACAACGTAACATTACCTGCCTTGAGGAGCAGCTCACTCCGCTTGCTTCTTGCTTTAGCAACATTAGCTGCTCTGTTTTAACAACATTCGGCTGAAAAACCGTGCATGCAGGCTGAAATTCAACTGAGGTGTTCTGTCAGGAGATGCACTGACTTTAACCACCGGTGAGTAAGAAAAATAATAACACTGCATGTAATCTGTTAAGCTATGAAAAGAGGAAAATGTCCGCCAGCTGAATGTTGTATTTTGTTGAATGATCTTGGAGAAGTTTGCCTTCAGGGCTTTAAGACAGATATTCCTTAAGTTTTATGAAAAAGATGATGGTTTGGGTTAAAATGAAAAGATTTCTTCCAGAAAGGTCTCTCTGACAGAAAGCTCTGATGGTTAACTTATCCCATTTGCTTTTTTATTTGTGTCAGTGGAGTCAGTTTAAAGTGAACTTTTCTGTATTTATTATTTATCCATCCATCCATCCATCCATCCATTTTCATCCACTTATCCGGGGTCACGCTGCAGGGGCAGCAGGCCGAGCAAAGCACCCCAGACATCCCTCTCCCTGGCAATGCTTTCCAGCTCCTCCTGGGGGACCCCAAGGCACTCCCAGGCCAGACGAGATATGTAATCCCTCCAGCGTGCTCTGGGTCTGCCCCGGGGTCTCCTACCAGTGGGACGTGCCCGGGACTCCTCCAGTGGGGGGCGCCCAGGAGGCATCCTAGTCAGATGCCCGAACCACCTCAACTGACCCCATTCGACACGAAGAAGCAGCGGCTCTACTCCGAGCTCTCTCCGGATGTCCGAGCTCCTCTCCCTATCTCTAAGGCTGAGCCCAGCCACCCCACGGAGGAAACTCATTTCCACCGCTTGTATCTGCTATCTCATTCTTTTTGTCACTACCCAGAGTTCATTACCATAGGTGAGGGTTGGGACGTAGATGGACCAGTAAATCGAAAGCTTTGCTTTCCTGGCTCAGCTCCCTCTTCACTACGACGGACCAGCGCAGCGCCCGCATCACTGCAGAAGCCGTACCGACCCGTCGATCCGTCTCACGCTCCATTCTACCCTCACTCCGAGAATCTCTACCTTAACGTGGTGGAGGGGTTTGAGTGTCCCTGTGAATCTGGGAGCTGTTTTGTTCGGGGCTAATAGCCCCTGGTAGGGTCTCCCAAGTCAAAGTGGGCCTGGGGGAGAGACCAGACTAAGAGTGATTCAAAGACCTCGATGAAACAGACTTTTCAGAAGCAGAGTACACGAGTACCTCAGTATGGGGATACCGGGGCCTCCTCCTGGGCCAGACCCGGGGGGAGCTCACCAGCAAGCATCTGGTGGCTGGGCCTTAGGCCATGGGGCCTGTGGGCCCACCAACCGTAGGGACAGAAATTGGGGTTGGGTGCATTGTGTGCTGGGCGGCAGGCAGGGGCGGGGCCCCTGGCGTACTAATCCCTGGCGTTGCAGACGGGCCCTACTTATTATTTATGTGTTGTTTATGTGTTTTATGGCCAAAAGTAAAAAAGAAAGGGGTGGCAGCGTCTTTTGCAATAGACTGTGTTAAATGGGCATTTAGGCTAATATTGCCCAATATTGATCGCAGACCCCTGAATCGATATAATATGGTATTGTGATGAAACTGGTGATTTACACCCCTTCTTGTTAGTGAATATCAGGTTGCAGTGCAAAACAAAAGCAAAATCCTTTATTTCAGTTAAAGAATGTTAATGTAAAGAAATAATTTTTTAATTGCAATTAATCGCAGTGTTTGAACAGTTAATCATGATAAATCACATTTTTTTAACCATGTTTAAAATTCCATTATTTTGCATTTCCAAACAATTTTGAAGTCCATATTTACAAGGTGAAGCAAACATAATTTTTATTTTTATCTATTTATTTTTAGTGTATTGGTTGGGAATTTACTTTATGATCTTGACTTTTAGGTGTATTTCTTTCAAATCAGTGCTGCACTGCTACAACAGTGTTGTCTTTAAACCATGACTTAGAGGTACGAGACAACTTCAAAGTGCTTATTATGTCAAATTCAGTGTTTTTTTGTGTTGTTAATTGTTATTTTCTTTTGAAATGATTAAACAGTTCCACACTGAGAAAGTGCAGTAACTCTGATATAATTTTGATCACCCACTGACGTCCAATAATCTCCGCTTAATGTGACAACATTTGCACTTTTTCAGGAGTTCCAGTTTAGTTGCTTTCTCTGATTCATACAGGTCCTGTGTGCATGAAACTATTGTTCCCCCGATGGTAAAGTTTATGACTGGTCACATGTCAACCTGAGGACGTCCCCTTAATACACAATATACTTGTACAATGCTGTGTCTGATCTGCAGTTACACCTCCAAAGCTAGTCAGCAGTCAAGTTTCTGTGTGCTGTTATTTGATTGATTCAAAACACACTTAAAACACACATTAAACATGGCTTCATAGAGACACTTTCAAACACAGTTACACAAATCGGCTTTGTTAGAACTTGCATGATTCACATACAAAACACTTCTTCTTTTGCTGTCTTTTGCTGGACAGATTTTCCCCACAAATACAACAAACTAATATCATTAGCAAAAGCCTATGGCATTTTACATTGTATAAATTAGCCTAGCAACTAGACAAAGTTCTTCTCATCAATTCCTGGAGCTACACCCACATTTCCCATCACGCCTTGTGCTGGACTGAGTAGTTTGTAATTTGCAGCTAGGTTTGCTGTTTTATGTTCCAAAACACAAATGTCACTTTTTGTTAGTGTTTATATGTGTTAAATGTGTCTGTTCTTTTATAACATGGTAGTTTATGCTGTGTTTATTTTATAATTTACACCATTAGTGAGTTGGGTGTACACTTTAACAGTCCAGCTGTAGTTTCTTTTACAGGTATTAAATTGAAATTCTTGTGTCCAATGTACAGAATGTGGTACTAACACAAAAACATTACACTGCATTATATACAGGATTCTGTTTACTCTTTACTCTCCAATGGAGCCACCTGGAGAACTTGAAAATTACATGAGCCACTCAAAAGCCCATATTTTCATCACCATGACAGTGGTAACTTGACTATAAGTGAGGTTACAATGATGGGACAAAACAGTAACACATGGTTAATGCTACTAGAAAAAATTAATGCCTTATGCTCGGACCTTAATCACATCACAATTAATGCATTAATGCTGACAGCCCTTGCAAAAAGTAAACAAGGTAGACATGTTTCTAAATACAAGCTGGACAGAAACCTACAATATGTATTAATTTTTTAAGGACAAAGGAACAAAGAAAGCCAAACAAACAGGACAAAAGAGGGAGAATATGTAAAGCTTTCATCTCTGTTTTGTGGTATGACAACACACCCCTCCTTAAAGTCCACCTGAAAACATGAATTTCGCACCTATTTGTTGTGGGAAAAAAAAAAGTTAGAGTGACCAAGCTACAAGAGATGGCTCCTTATTCTCTAACCCTCTTACTGGGTGGGCAGCGTATGTGCTGATTGACAGCTGAGCTGGTGAGAGCACCGAGGCATAATGTAAACAAACTTGTGCTAGTAAAAGCTTATGACATGGACTGACAGCTCTTGCTAGCTGTCGTGTGAATAAAGATACATCATTAAGCATCCAAACATTTCCTGATAGTTTTTTAAGCTGATCAACGTGCTGACTAGCTCAACCAATGGCCTGTCTGATATTAGCACTTTATTTTGCCGGCTCATTCGGTGAGTTATGGTCCAAAACAACATTTGCATCAATGCTTTTAGTAGATGGAAAGGAGACATTCTGGCTTTTCTCATGCACTGTTCGTACGTTAACCTACGAAAAGTAATGCACCACAAAATGCAACACAACTTGTATATAACATACAGCTACAGCCAAAGATCCACACATGTAGTTTCTCAGTATAGTGTAAAAATACATTATTTTACTGTTGGTTGAACTGTACTTATTTTTGTATTCTGTATTTTTGTTTTTAACCCTAACCCTTGTGTCTCCTTAGTTTCAAGGATCAGGTTGAAAACTGCTCTGTCAACTTTACATGAGGCCCAACAACTTTATGCCAACTCTGGATGGTATAATTCAGCTCACAGCTGAAGGCAAAGTTAATTCACTCAGCAGTGGCTTGGATGAGCTTGCTTAGCTGGTGCAGTGCTGAAATTTTAATGAGGTGATTAACCCCTGAGGGCAGGCGTCTGCCCATATCCAACACGCTTGATATTTGCAGCGCCTTGCTGATGGTGTCACTCTGGCCAATGAAATTTAAGCGGGGTCTGTCACCACCCTCTACCCGAGCAATGTGGAGAGTTTTATCTGCTGCTATTTTTTAATTTTGTAAGCGACCGCAATGAAATAAGGACCAAATAAAGTTTTATTTCCTGTTTAATTTCACCCTCTGTCTTTTTTTTTTTTTTTTTTTTGACTCATTTGCCATATCTAGTTTCAGTTATGGAAACAAGCATGTGTATGGGTTGGAGTGAGCGAGAGATATAACATCTGCAACAAATTGTCATTGAGTGGTCTGTCAACCCAAGCCAAATGGACCTTAAGTGTTTTGACATGTTTGGGATTCTTTCTGGTACAAAGTTTTGGGCAAAATCCAAAACAGACAGGCGGAAAACCTACCCAATCCTGATGTTCATGAATTAATTTTCAAAACATGAGACACAATTCAAATGCACCCAAGGTTAATTGTAACCCATCCAAAAGGGATCCAAGGTCAGTCGATCTCTATCTGAAGAGCCCTGATCATTAGATCCAAAAAACTGTTGAAACAAGCAGACCCTAATTTCTCAACATATTCTGTAATTCATAATGTAGAAAAAAAAAGGAAGGAAAAATTATTATTATTTTTTTTTTTTAAACGGATGGATTTCCAGATTGAGCAGACCCTAGCCTGGAGAAAACACCAGTACTGGCAGCAGGATGATACAGGGTCTGTTTTTTTTTTTTTTTTTTTTTTTTGGTTGGCATTGCTGTTTGTTATTACCTCTGCTAGGGAGGTAACCAAGCTTGGTGGACGACTGTAGCATGGGTCAAGAAAGAAAACATAACATTTTGGAGTGGATCAGAATCACAGGGCAGATATACAAATTATTTTGCACTTTCATAAACAATGAGAGATAGGTCATCTGGGCCCCTTGGAGGTCTGCACTCTGTGAGTGTCCTTCTAGTTTCATAATGTGATGGAATAATGTGTTTTTCCATTGTATTGTCTAAAAAGGGAACAAGGTGTAAATTACATGTTTTTCCATCTAAGGACCCCATGAGGTCAAACCAGTTTGCGTTTAAACCAATATGCCTGAATCTTTTATCTCTCCATTCACCTAAAAAGAATTTTCTGGCTAACTTAATGGTTAAGAAGCAATTTACCCCAAAGCATGAGGAAATTAAAAGAAAGAAGCTCGAAGAAGCTCAGGAGAGCCAGACTGCATGAGCTAAACTAACTATCATGTACGCTACAAGTAAGCCTTCTATACAGTCTAAGGTCGGCTATGAAGGCCTGTGGAGTGTGTTGCATATTACCAAACACCTGTTGTAATGCCACACTATATAAAACATACTGTACAGAAAAATGAGTGTAGTTGACAAGTGTCAGTCTTATGGCTCTCATTAAATGAGCTCTTTACTAATGATTCCATTCATACTAAAAATGCTTCTAAAGCTTAGCTTGTTAAATTGTTCTACCCCGAAATCTGTAGCAGCAGTACTGTTTGTCCATCTTTTTCAATTTAGTTAATATATATATATGTATACTGTAAAGTTTGTAAACTTTGACTTAAATTTCAAGATGTAGCACTGTACAAAAGATAATCCCATCCTTACTACACCTCAAAATCACCAGCTCTAAAGTAACAATCCAGTCGATCTTCCTTCACATCAGTTTCTATTAGGCCAGGCCAAAAGGGAGCTTAGGCCCCCACAAGGATGAATAGGTTCATCCCGACTGGATGAGCCTGTGCATGCAAATTTTCAGTGCATGGAGCTGTGAAGATGAGCGGTCAAAGCCATATACAATATCCCCATCAAAGGGCAAAGTCGGCGTGAAATATAACCGTGGTGAAATGGTTTCTGCTTGCCTCAGTTCAAACTGCCACCCGAAACAATAAACAAATGCAAATATAGAACAAATAAAATGAACATAAATATGGAAGAAAAAGCACACACTGAAAAAATTCACCGTTTTGCATGTTTGTTTGACTGCTTATAGCATATTCATCATGTTTATAACTTACACATATTTGTCATATTTGGTCTTCACTTCTTCCTGCAGACTGTAAAATGGTAAGCACAGATAAAACCTTGAGGCTAGCATGCTAGCACAGCTAACATTCCCATAAAGTTAGCTACATTTTGTTTTCAGGTACCAAGATTTTCAACGAGGGGTCTATTACTAATTGCAGTGAATGTAAGTAATTATGGACAGTTCTACACAACAGAGAATAGAAAAATCTGACCTATTACAGCATCCTGGTTGGGGCTCTTCACTGTGGATCCATTTTCACCATCAGGTCTCAGGTTCATCATCTGCATCTTTGTGTTTTTGTAGAAGGACAAAAAAGAGGTTACCTACATATTCTTCCACACTTCTGCATATACATTGTAGGTAGTAATCCCTGTATGGCACTAGCTGACAATGAACACTTTGACCTTGACAGTGTCAGATTCATAAAGTGACAAAGTAATGAATTATTGAATCTCTCAACTGACAGCATGCTATCAACATTCCTTCTTTTGACCAATACATGGCACTGTATTTGCTCGACATCGTCTTCTACAAGCTGTCCTCTGTGGAGACATTTATGGACACAGTTTTACAAATTTTGAACTCAAACTAATAATCAAATATTCAAACTACAACACAGTGTGTCTGACTCTTCAAAACTTGATGGGTTCACTTGTTAAATTATTGATAGATTCTTTGGATGAATAAATTGGGCTCCAATGGTGAAATTATGGACACAGTGATAAATTTAAAGGTCTTAAAATAAAGTTTGGTAATAAAGGCCGAATGATGAAACTGTATGTAAGAGGGTTTGAGGGACAGTTGGTGGAATCAGCCTGAAGTACATCTCACTTGTTAAGACAGTCATGTAGTATTTTTGCTGTTTTCATTTGCTCCCACTGTATTTAAAAAAAGAAACCATTAAAGTACAATTCATTTTTTTTGTTTGTTTGTTTTTTTTGTCTTTTGTTGCCTTTATTAGTCCAGCTGAAGATCAGTCTTTTGTTGTCTTTGTTTTAATCGTATCTTTCTGGTGCACTTACGGTAATGTTATTTTACTTTAACAACCATACTTTACATAAAAATGGGCTTGGTATACACTTCTATCTACAAAGACATCTTTGTGATTAGAACTGAAACTGGCAGCATACCAATAAAATAACTGCCCTTTTGTATTAGGTAATGATTTAATCTACCTTCGGGTCCCCGATGATGTCAGTATGTCCTTGTATCTCATTCAGGGACATTCCTGGGCAGGGCATTGAGATGCATGCCCTCACTGCATCATGAGACTCTCTTCTCCCTACAGAGCTAAAAGAAAACAGTCAACAGATCACTACACACTGAGATCCTCTGATATTGACTTAACATGCCCAGGGTGATTCAGCTGATAAATTACTTTATATCTCTTGAAACCTGTGTATGAAATATGTCTCAAATGGTCTCAGGGCTAGGGAGACTGACAGATGTGTCTAGGAACACTTGATAAAAATGACTGAAGTCATCTGAGGCAATAAACTACTTCACTGGTAATAAGCTATAAAGAACTGTGTTTGAACAAACATTAAAGGTTTAGGCCTCTAGTTTCGCAGACCGGGTGAGGTGGAGGTACAGCGCACCTGCGCTTCACCAACTGGGTGTGGCCAGGCGGATTTTGCACACGGTGCGTGCTGGAGCAGCTACTCCTCTTTCCCACCTCCATCCCTCCTACCTGCGCAAGTCGGAAAGAGGGAGGAGAGAAGGCGTGGAGTGGGTTTTACACACATCACACCAATCAAATGAGCCCCTCTCCTCCCCCTTAAATGTGCCGAATATGCGAAGGCATAATGAGAGTTTACTCAATTCGCCATGGCAGAAAAGAGCAGCATCGTCAGACAGCCAAACTTCTCCCAGGAGGAAACTGATGTTTTGGTCTGGGAGGTCCAAGTTCGCAGTTTCCGAATATACAGAACTGCGAGCAGACCTCCACGGGCTGATGATGCAAAGGTATGCTGGGAGAAGGTCACCACAATTGTAAATCAATGTTGCGTTTTTCTTGTGCACACGCGCTCTCTCTTTCTCTCTCGCAGTCTCACTCTGTTTCTTTTCTTTTGACTTTTCTAAGATGACAGTTGCTGAATATATACTCCGTATCTGATGCTGTGGCTGTTTGTGGTTGGCTGAGAGGGATGTGAACTCATTAGTTTGCAGCTGTGTTAATCAAATCAGGTTGGGTTTCCATTACGCGTGCCAAACGGTGCCAAACGGCGCCAATCCCCTTTGATCTGACATCAGATGTGACGGGACAGTCGATATAGAGATACATTTATGTGCTGATTGCAGATAGTTGCATTGAATAGTGGTTTTTGTGAGTATTTATTTTATTGTTAATGTGCCTGATATTCTGGAAACCTGCCTGTGAGGTTTTGGTGACGTGTGCGCACTGTCTGCTGGTCAGCCAAACTTCTACTTACACTGGCTGCGCTCTGCCTGTGCTGACAGTAGACCTGGTTTCAGCTGGCGAGCTTTTAGCGTACCTTTGGCGAAGCCTTTTGGCACGAAACTGTCACTGTGCCAAGCTGGATCTGTCGACACCTCCCCCTGCTGCGCCGCCACACCCATCTTAGTGCACCTCGGTCTGCCAAACTATCAAACTGAGCGCACCTTGGGTTGTGCTGCTCGAAACTAGCTCTGCGCGGGGTTCGCCACCCTGCACTGTGCCGGGAAACTAGAGGCTTCTATGTTAAAAAAAAAAGAAAAAACGTGATGATATCAAAATCACGAGTTAAAAAATGGCATTAATTCTGAATTTCTTACCAGTCTTTTCCATCGCTTTTTCTTCTGTCTCTCTTTTTGTCAGACTTTGTCTGTTTTCCTCCCAGAAGTGATGTAATCTTTTGCTCCCTCTTCTCCTCTTTTACTTTTGGTGGATCAGTCTTTTTGCTACTTGGAGCAGGAAGCTTACTCTTACGAAAACCAAACCAGTTTGCCAAGGTTGAGCCAGATTTTTGCTTCACTTCACTGGTTCTCTCCTGTTCCTGAGACTTGTGTAAGTTCTCCTCTATGCCGAGCATCACTTTCTCTTCGATTGTGGTTATAGTACTTTGTCTTTCTGGTTCTTCTGAAACTGGTTCACCAAAGGCGCTTGAAAACTGTTGCTCAATCTGAAGGCGCCTCGCCTGCTCTCGTTGCTGTTTAAGACTCTGAAGTCTTTCACTGGAGGACCCCAGATGTGAAGGAACTGTCAGACCCTCTTCAATCAAGAAATTGTTTAAAAGGGATCGATTCATTGGACAATGGTAGCTACTGGAGCAACTCAAACTTCCTGGAAGGACGTCACTGAGAGAGTTCAAGGAGCTCCCTGAGTGTGTTTTGATCTGGGTACGGACCTTTCCAGATCTGTTGAAGCTTGGCCTGTCCATGTAGCGTGCACCAAAGCTCTGGCTACGAGCTTTAGCCCCATTCATGCCCATTACTGGCTTAAGGGGAGGTCTAGTTGACACAGAAACAGATCGTTTAAACAACCAACCTTCCTCATCAAATCCCCAATCTAACATCACACCACTGTCTGAGGCAACAGGTTGAACTGAAGGCTCAGAGTCCAGCGAGTTACAGCGGGTCTCAATCTTTCTGCGGGCTTTGTCTTCAGCTCCACATTCATGTACTATCTTGGGATCACAGGTAAAAGTCTGAAAAGTCTGGATACTTTTTGCAGTCGAGTTTGGATCATCTTTGTTATGTCTTCCAAAAACTAGGAAGGTACTGGTGTCTTGTCCAGCGATTGCCTCATGAGATTTAGCATTTAAAGGAAGAGCCATTTTTACAGCTCTTGAGGTGGAACTCTGAGGATTATTGGTAATCCCATGGTAGTAAACATTAGAATATGCCTGAGGCAAGACTTCAGAAAGTTTTGGCTCACTAATGCTTTGTTGGGTTCTTTGTAAGATGTTCTGATTTGGAAAAATTGAGGGCATACCATTTTCATCATGGCATGTTGCAGTTCTGTCCATAGATAGCTGGACGGACTCTAAAGGTTGGGACTCTTGACCTAGGACAGGTGGCATCTTGGATGAGTGCGTATTGTAGAGCTTGGCAGGAATCTCTTTCAGTGGGTTACCTTCAGCACCCATTTGTAGGGCTACATGTTGATTATCCTTTGTTATGTTAGACTGTTGAGACTGTAAAATTGATTGTGGCTTGGTGGTGCTTGATGTTGTAGAACTTTGAGCATGACCTGCAGTTTTATGTGCTTTGGGTAAGCTGTCACAACTGGGCCTAAGGACAAGAGAAGTAGTTCGACCTGGGGGTGGTGGTGGAGATGGGGACCTATGTTCCGAATGGGAAACATCACAGTGTTGGTCTTGGCGCCGTTGTTTTCGCGGAGAGCAGGGTAAGTTGTCATAGATGCTTTCTTCCAAAGACTCATTGCTTGATTGAAGTCTAGTGATCTGCAGTGGTGATTTTGTTGGGCTCTTTGAGCTTTCATTGATCCCTGGAGGCTTAAATGTCTTTGAATGTTTCACAGGGGAAGCAAGGGGAGAGCGTACACTCTTGAGAGACTTGGAACTTGTCGATAGCACAATGTCTTCATTGTTCTCAAGGTTAGATAATGATACCTTGTTTGAACAATGCGTTTTACTGAGATTTGTCCTTTTGCTGGGAACACTGTGCCCAGGAGGGGTTGACTGTCCTTTGGACCTGTGACCCTTGATAAGCTTTTGGTGGAGAGGAGAGTGTGTATGCTTCAGTTGTTCCTTCCCTCCATCTGCACTCTTACTCCGCAGAATGAAAGCCTTTCTTGCTGAGTCACAAGGCTGAGGTTTTGGTTTCCTTTGTGGAGATTCTGAGATGGTGTAGTTCTGGCTTTCACTGCCAGCTTGATTTGTCTGGTCTCTGCAGTGAGGAACTTCCATTGAGGAGCTGCGCTGTCTAGCTACACTCACACAGCTCAGAGCTCTTGTTGCATAATACTGAATAGAAGAGCTCACATCACTTGTCCCTGCTTCAGCTTGCTTGACTGCAAGTCTGCCGTGTTGTCTTTTGACGTGATCAAGTCTAGATTTACGGTCAGTAGATCTCTCCTGATTATTGTTTCTGTCACTTAACTTCGTGCCTGAAGGCTTGTGTTTTTCTAGTGAGTCTTTGTTCTGGTCCTCCAGATGTGTAAGGCTATCTGTTGGGCTTACACCAGGTTTTACTGTGGGGCCCTCCAGAAATAAGAAGTTGTCTGTGACAGGTGAGGGAAAAAGACCAGAATTCCCTGCACGTTTTTCAGGGTCTTCTTGAAAATTGTTGTCATCATCTCTTGTGACATTCAGTGTCTTCAAGCAAACAAGCTCTTTTGTTTGTTGATCACTAGATTCCCTACTTTGCAATTTAGTTGAATCATCATCTGCATCATCAGAGTCTAGGGCAGCAGTCCCTGCTCCTGCCTTGAATGGTTTACTTGTAGGGGCTACTTGCTTGGCTGTACTCCCTTGTTGGCCACACTTAACACCAAGTGAGTATATGCCCTCGTTGGAGGTCATACAATCTTTGCAGTGTGGCACAGATGCAAGTGAGGATGCCTCTTTGGAGCTGCACATTTGGAGACGCTTCAGGCCCTTCAGAATGTGGCCTTCCTTCCATCCCAGTTCTGTCTGCTCGATGGGCGCAGAGTGATTACTGGATACTGAACCTGTACTCATCCTTTTGTCACGGCTTGTGACACACTGTGTAATACAAGACATATTTACTGTTATTAAAATGACATTTACAGATGGGTCAATTGTTTTAACCTGAAATGCCATAAAGACTGGGAATACACCGATTTATCTGCATTTGCCTTGTTGACTGTCATCAGCCTATCAGCAAATAAGATGACATTCACTGATGGCAGTGACCAATTAAATTAATGTACAGGTACAAGAAGAATACAGTGACTGTTTGGCAAATAGGCTCTGTGATCTCACTGTTGTGTAATGAGATGGCAAGTAGCAGCCTGTGTCCCATCTTCCCGAGGACAATAGAAAATGTGTTTGGGACAAATAGAGATCTTCCTGGGATGCCTTTGGGTTGAAAGGACAGAGTAAACTCACTATTGATGCGTCAGGAGATGCACCCTATTGTTTACCTGATAATGCTACTTTGTGAGCACTGAGTCTGTTTTAGAATCAGCAGAGAGCTAGTTAACGCTAGCTGTTAGCTGCTCACAAAGGCTGCCTTAAGTTACATTATGATGCATTCAAGCTCTATTCAGCAGAAATTAATATTGGGGGAAGGAAAATTACGTTCTCATGATGTGTTCAATGTAATTTTGTAAAACATAGGTTTTTTTGTGAGAAACCTAAATAAATACAGTTGTTTGAAGGGGAAATTTGTTAATATCTTCAGAGCAATAAAAAAGAGATTTTAGAGAGGTATACAATACACAGATCAGCCAAAACATTAAAACCAGTGGTGGGTGAAGTGAGTAACATTGATCATTTTGTTATAATGCAATGTTCTGCGGGGAGACCTTTGGTAATGGCATTCATTTGGATGCCACTTGACGCCCTCCACCCACCCAAACACCACTGTGGGCTAAGTAACCCTCCCTCGCGGCTATGGTACTCCCTGATGGCAGTGGCCACCCAGAAGAAAAATGCACCATGCCACACCACAAAAACTGCTCAGCAATGGCCTGAGGAACATGACAAAAACCTCAAGGTGTTGACCTGGCCTTCAAATCTCTCACACACCAATCTGACTGAGCATCTTGGGACATGCTGGTACCACACCTTACAACTGACCGGTCTCAAATGATCCGAAACCAACGCTTCTGGTGCCAGACACCACAGGACACCCTCCAGAGTTCCTGTGTCAATTCCTTGACATGTTAGAGACATGCCCACTCCAGGGAGGCCCCACAATGGATTGGGGGTACCTATGGGCACATCCCATGGATGTTCAATCATATTTGGATCTGGGGAATTTGGAGGCCAGGTCAATGCCTTTTGGTTTTTGTCATGTTCCTCGGGCCATTCCTGAGCAGTTTCTTAAGTGTGGCATGGGGTCTTTTTCTGCTGGGGGGCCACTGCAATCAGGGAGTATCATTGCCGTGAGGGAGGGTTATTTAGCCCACAGCGATGTTTGGGTGGGTGGAGGGCGTCAAGTGGCATCCACATGAATGCCATGACCAAAGGTCTCCCGGCAGAACATTGCATTGTAAAAAAATGTTCACTGTTACTAACTTCAACCACCACTGGTTTTAATGTTTTGGCTGATTGGTGTATATATGGTAAAATGACTTTTGTAGCAGTTTTTTTTTTTTTTTTAAAGATTGAATTCATGCTCAACAAAGGTTGTGTGATGAAGGGCCTTGTTATTTTTAAGCATTTCATTTATTTTTTTTTTATAGTATTGTAGATTTCTTTGTTTTCTTGGCACAAAAGGGGGAATAACTAACAACTATACAATAAACAACAATATAAAAACATGGCGATCAGGTATCAGCTACCGGTACAACGGCCATCAGCCATCACCCAAATTGTTATTTTTTAACATCAGTATCAGTTTCAGCATCATATCTGCCCAGAATTTCAAAATCGGTGCAACCCTAATTAAGACTGTAAGTATATTATTTTTGACAAATTCCAAATACTTCAAACCAAAGGATGATGAATGAAACTCACCTGCTTGGAGAATCCACGTCCTTCTGCCCACGTGTGGGAGCCACTGGAGTACTCACTACAAGCACTGGATAGAGACAGTTCACTGCCACTGCCGCTACCACTACTGCGTGGGCATGTTAGACTCAGGAGGCTGGGCCACCTTCCTGCAGGAATACCTGCTTTTCCATTCCTTTGGATGTCCTGGAAAATAAATTGTTACGTAATAAATAAACATAATTTAAGCGAACACAATAAGGAAATGCACTTTCGCTTATACAATTATTATGAAAACGGTGCAGTTAAGGACAAAGTCAGCATTGCAGGCTTACACTGACACAGCATTGGTAATAAGATAAATATTCATAGGATATACAATTTAATTTATCAGTACAACAAATATTGTAATTATGGCTCACATTTGCACCAGTGAACTCAACGTTTGTTCCTCCACCTAATCCTTGACATTATATTCACTAGATTCTCTTTGCAGTCTGAACGACAAACACAACCTAAAAGAATGCCCCATGGCTCTCCATTTGTCTCTGTCACAGATCTCAGAGAATCGATATGCTGGATACATAGCTGTCTCTTTGCAACCAAAGGCTAATTGAGGAATGCAATGACATTTTCCACTCCACTCGATAGATGGCCTCTTGTAAAATGCATGTTTTCATGTTTCTCGGGTCTTGCAGGTGTATCATGATAACGTTTTGGTAGTTGGTCAATGAGACATGTTGAAGCGATGCCTCTGTTCTAACACAATTCACTGAGCATGGAGCCTCTTGGTGTGTCTGCTGTTCATTTATATTTCAAACATAACTGCACAATGACTAAAGACTTAGATAATGGTGCTTTTGTGTTGGTCGGAGTCTACAAAATGAACCAAAATCAACATTCACATATTGTTCCACTGACTTAGATTATTCCTAATAACATCTTTCACTGGCAACCCTTTGCCCACACTGTGCCTGTTCATCATAAGTGACAGGAAAAAAAAGTGCATTGTAAGCCTCTTGACTGAATAGGATAGTGTAATGGCAGGCAAAAGTATAACTTATAAAACCTTGTAGAAACTAGATATGACAGAATATTGTCTCTAAAAATGTCTTCAGCTGATGCAAAATACTTGTATTAAGAGACACGATGACAGAGGTAGCTTTGAAAGAAAAGTTGAAAGCCTTGAGAGGACTTTCACTGCATATTTTATCGAACACATTTTATTTTGGAGTAGACTTCCTTGTTTTAAATCTGAAGAACTAGTTCTCTGTAGCGATCAAGCTGTCATCTGCCCATTTAAGGTTAACTGATTGACCAGATTAGTTGCCTCCCCAGAGCTCATAGAAATTTTTAACTCAGCTATGAGCCAGAAAGCTAAGGCTATGCTAGCAAGATTCAAGTCAAAAACATTGCGTACAGTTGACTAGCAGTAAATATAATTTGACAGTCTTTTTAACAAGACTAGCCAGGTATCTCATTGTCCCCAAATGAATATTAAGATTTTCACGAACTAACAATTGGCCGTATGCACCATCAACTGCAGCCTGAAGTAGCGGGTTGAATAGCGAATGTAATACAAAGTGTCAGTAAGTTCAGAAGGGCAGTGTATTTCTTGCAGCTTTTGTGTTACAGTTGCCATCCTGTGGTGTTTAGAGGATGAGGCACTGAAAGATTACAGTCAGTGTTGGAAATAAATCGTAAAAACGGGGGCTCTGACCCCATCTCTGTTGCTATGGTTACTCATATTATATACAGGCTGGTCAGCGCATCAGTTTAGAACAGAGAACAGACAGTTTCACTGGAACTACATGGTAGGCGTCCTCTACTGCAGCCAATCAGAATTGAATGTACACCCAGACCATGGTATAATGATTGATACTAAAGTGTTTTCCAGTGTTTCTGTTTCACAGTGGTTTATATGGATTTGCTGTAAATGAAATACAAAGCTGTGACTTCTCTGACTGTGTAATGGCCCATATAATCTCTTTAAACAGATATCCGCATATGTATACAGAATCTGTAGGTGACAGGACAAGCTTTTGGTACTGGAAGCATTCTGGCTTCCATTTGTAGTCATTTCGAGTCCAAGTAGTATTGGCCAATCACATTTGAATGGACAGTTAACAGTGTGGAGAGGCAGAGGGCATTGGCCATAATGCAATCTTGGAACCCATCTGCTATTGTCTCATAACAATTAGCTTTTTTATAATGTATCTATTTATACCAGCGCATGGAGGAGAAAGTCTTGGCTTGGATATTCATTGGCTACACCAGATCAACCCAACATATTGGCCCTCGCCCCTAGAGGCTTTATTGTCGTCAGACTGGTACTCGATAGGTTCTGAGATTGTGGCCCTCATATCTCCAGTGACTGTAATGTAAAGGAGTCACTAGTACTGCCTAACCAACTGGGAATCAACATCGAGCTGTACAATTCTGTATAGCTTGTAGCCACTTTTAGCCTTTGGTTTTGGTTTTTCAAAGGTAAACTGACAGTCTTGCTGCCCTCATCAGTCCTAATGAGCTGAGTGTGCAGATTCAGCCTAGCACAAAATGGCAAGGAATAAGACAACAGTGGTAGTTGGAAAAAAAATAGCTAGCTTAAGAACCAAATATTTTATCTTATCCTGTTATGAATGACAAAAGAACTAATGGTACCAGTATACTTCTAGGTGGAAGAGGTTGTTCATAACCTTGCCCTCATTGTAACCTTGACACTTTGATATAAACTTTACTTAAATAAACTAGGTTTGCAAAAACAAACATGGTACTGCTGAGATGACTGTTTAGCCTTTCATTTTAAATGTTTGTTGTTTCATTGTTCATTTGAGAAACACTTGTTGCTGCAGAATTTTGTCCCACCACCAAAGACAATTGATCTGACTTTTTCAATGTTTATATTGTCATATTATAAATGTATTTGTGATCATTTTTGCTTTATCTTTTTTTAATGCTGCTCATTTGTTATCCACAAAACAGATTCAGGTCAGACAAACAATTTATACCAAATGCAGTACTTATATGGATCACAAATAAACCATTTTACTTTTGTATTTATATGGCCCAAACAAGTGTGTGAGAAAATAAATTTGTCCATTCTCTGTAGGTATGTAAGTCTCACAAAAATTGATGCATGGGCTCAAACAACTGGTTTGCATTTGGTCCTGATTTTTTTAATGTCCATTTTGATAATGATAAGTTGCAATGCATCAAATTGCACTGAAAAGGCAGAAGGTAGAAGAAGCCTGGATTAGAAAAGATCAGTGTTTAATGTTGTTGCTTCACTGTTTAGGGTCCACTTATCTGTGAAGGACTTGGGTCCTATATACTAAGCCTAGTATCTTACTAGGAACTGCTGGCATTATTCAATGACACGCAGCAGATTCTGTTTGCAACGATGCCATTTCCAATCAGAGGGACCCAAAGGTGTCACAAGTGTTGTGACCCCATTTAAAATAGCATTGATCGTTTGCAAGGCTGCCATGGCCAGCTTCCTCTCAAAGTCATTAGTGTCATCTGTTAGCAATAATTAATGTGAATAGGAAATAATTGCATAAGGGAGCCGGGGACTAAAGTGATTTGGTCTATTCATTGATATTCACCTATTATTTGATTATCCGTGCTAGCCTTTATTTCACGAGCACTGCGGGAGGAGGCCACATTTGACCATGCTTGTGAGGATTAATCTTGGAACTAATTACAGTTAGCATGTCGAGGGGTATCTGAGATTTGACACAAGTGATCCAGTTTAACAAAACCCTCAATCATAGTGGAGCTGTGCTTAAAGTCAAGGGCAAATTTGAGGGCTGTGGAGATGTTTTTCTCCTTCATATATTTTAATGTTTTTCCACTTTGTGCAATGAAGTTTCTCAATATTTCCTTACCGTTTCATAAAATTCAGACATGACAATTTATAGGGTGAAAGAAGATTATGATGCTTTGATTGTAACCGCACAAAAGCTACATCCAATATTTGTCATGTAAAAAAAATGCTAAAGGCCAAACATTTTTAAAATACAGAATAAATACTATCTAAATGTTAGCAGAAATCATCAGTTTTCTGGATATATAAACCATAACCTACATTTGCATTCTCCACATTACTTTAATCACAGTAATGAGACACATTGGATGTTTTCAGCATTAAATCAAATATCAAACATGTGGTAGAGATCTATTTTTAAAGACAACATCAACTGATATGCCTTTCATGTTTTTTTTCTTTTGATATTACCATTTAGTCATTCAGATGCTCAGAAGGTTCTGTGAAAAGAGAGATCACAAAACCATGATTCACCAGACATTTAAAAGCTCAGCGCTGGCTTTTTCACCTTAAAAGTACATCTACGTCTTGACTAAAAGGAAAAGTAAGTGAATAAATAAATGTATGACACATCTAAAAATGTAAGTGCTAAAATGACTTGGTTTTGTGCAACTGTTCGCGTAACTGCTCACTGTCTGACTGTGGAAGATCTGAGACAGGAGTGAAGCAGATTATACTGCATCCATTTGTGTGTTGTACTATATGTGTAATTATTTTTCTTCCTCTTCTTCACATTACAACCTCACTACTGTCATTATCTATAAGTAGCCATGATGTAATCAGATTTTTAAGGGGGACAACTATTTTTTAATAGCAATCCTTTATTACAAAGAGGGGGTGTAAAGTGTTAAAGATGTGGGTGCTTACCAGGGTAGAGGGTACCACAAAAGATGCTATCAAGTTGCAATATGGGATAGGTTTTCACAAATTTATAGCAAAATAGTAAATTACTGGAATACTCCTTAAGAATGAAAACATAGCGTCATGGGAGGGACTGTATCTACTTATCATGAAGGCCTTAGACACACCCTGGCATGACTTGTGTAAATAAATCATATCATCCCTGCATCCATCCAGCCTTCTCAGTCAGAATAATACAGTAGCATGTCAGCTGGTGGGTCTACAGCTTATGAAAGGTTCTCCACAGAGAATATGCTATTAAGATGAGGCTTTTATCCCAGGCACCTTACAGCACCATGACTTCATACATTTTTATGTTGGATTTCATAATGGAAATCTAACCACTAACCCTGGCAGTTCTGGAGATTTCTCCGCCAACTAAACCGTACCTGCAGTTCACACTATCACAGTATACTTGGAGTACACAGACATGCATCTGGCCAGCAGTGGACAGCACTGACAGGAGGGGTCCAACTTTCCT